GCTAGTTTAGACAAAATAATTTTCTAAGTAAATTTCTACGTTTATTCACTCTTAGTATTGTTCTTCTTTGTCACTTTCTCCTTTGTGCTAACAGTACAGCATTAACATGTGCTTATCATCTTTAATGGAATTATTATATTGAATAAAAAACTCCTCAACTAGTTCTTGAAGTCCTTCAAAACAGGGACTTTGGGGCTTTATTTATTGTTGTAGCACCCAACATATTATGTGAAATATATTAGGTACTTGATAGATACTTTTCAATTGATGCTTAAATGAATGAACATCCTCCAGGTCACTTAAAACAGTCTGGCCATTGACATGCACTTACTGAATATTTATTGAATTACTGAATATCATCACAAGCTACTAAAACCTTTGCCTTTAAATTATGTTTCTTTTTTTCTTGTTTCCCATGCCTCTCAAACCAGTTATTTTTCCCGTTTTGCAATCAGAATTCACTCAACTGTCAATGTTATGTTCCTTACAGCTCTTCTTCCCAGTAGATTAAACTCTTTTAAATCTTTTAATTTGTGATTTTAAGCCATTATTTTTTTTAAAAAAAAAGATGTGGGTATCTGCTATGAGTTTAAGAAAAACACCTTGAAAATCTGACCTCAGGAACTTCCACTTTGACGGGATTTTAATGTCCACTAGAGAAGGTTAATAAACACTATCTCTATTTTGAGCCAAATTAATTTCTAATAAAAGAGCAGGAAGTACTTACTGACTGAAATATGAAAGGGACACTTGAGGCAATCTACTCATTCCTGATAAAGGATTTAATTGAGCTTTTGATTAATTTGGAAGTGTTCTGGGAAAGGAGGAACAATGAAAGGTCATGTTATGTCAACACTGTCCTGCAAATTAGCCCTTTCCTTACTCTAAAAAAAAAATAAAAAAAAATCCAGAGACCCAGCTATCTCTCAGGTGCTGTTTTTTTCTCATTTTTCTTTAATAACTAACTTTCACAAATAACAGATTTTAATCACAGCTCTCACTTTCTCATGTACTTTTTTAATTTTGAAATCCAGATTTGATCCTCATCATTTGAATCACATTTGTCTCTGTGATCAATAACGATGGCTTTTTTAAATTTAATTTTTCAATTACAGTTGACATGCAATATTATGTCAATTTCAGGTGGACAACATAGTAGTTAGACATTTATTTACTTATGAAGTGATCCTCTAATTAAGTCTAGTATACAATATTATTGACTATATTCCCTATGTTGTCCTCTCTTCAATCACCTTTTAAAAAACATTTCACGGCATTTGATACTGTTAAACAGATCTCCACATTCTCTTCTCTTTTGAGATGAAATGCTATTGATTTGAATTTGCCATCTATGATGACCCTTTAGCTGAAATTCCTTCCGACACCCTCTAAATATAGACATTTCTTACGGACCTGTTCTTGATGTGTCTGTTTTCCTCTCTATATTTTATCCTTCAGAAATTTCATCTTATTTGAATGACTTTCCATATGGCTTTGAGTAGTGTATCCCCAGTTCTAACTCCTTCCTTTGGCTTTATACCTAAGTTTCCCAAACCACAAATATATTAAGATTTGGATTTATTAATATTCCCTTCAGCATTTACTTCTTCATCCTACGTTTTCTTTCTTTGTCAATAGTTCTAATGTGATTCTACTTATCTAAGAGCTTTAGCTCTGACTCATCGGAGCCCAGAGCCTTTACATCAACTTTGTATGGGAGCGAATGAAGGGTGGCAAAATATGCCACCCCAAAATATGCCACCCAAGCATAAGGGGTATTTGAGATAAAGGCACTTGAGAAATAGCAGGTGCAAGGAAGGCATTCTAATCTCCCCCTAAAACAGGAGCTAAAAACTCCCATGTAAAAGATGTGCTCTTTGGACCAAGAAAAAAGAAACATTCTTCAACAGGAATCAAAGTCAATAGAACTGTGTACATACAGACCTTGTTTAAATAACTCTTATCTGCCATTAGCCTCCCCACACAGTTTAGTTCTTTTTCCACAATTGCCTCTCTTTGTTCAACCTAGTATGAAAGCATTAGGTTTTGCCACTTCTTTGAGTCTTTATTTATTTATGAGGGATCCCATGTTACGTAAAACTTATATTAAATAAATGTGTATCCTTTTCTCCTGTTAATCTGTCATATCTGTTTAATTTTTAGGCCCAGACAAAAACGTTTAAGAGGGAAAGATAAAATTGGGCCTCCCCTACAGTATCAACCTCTAATGTTTCTACCTTCTACATCATTCTGCTTTGACCCTATTTTTATTATTTTTGGTTGGAGTATTATGAAACTTTTTACTTTTTAAAACATTTTTAGTTACAGTTTACCTTTAATATTATTTTATAGTAGTTTCAGGTATACAACATAATGGTTAGAAAATCATATACTTTTCAAAATATTCCTCCTGATATCTCCAGTACCCATCTGGCATAATTCATAGTTATTATAATATTATTGACTATATTTTCTGTTATAGAACTCTTCCTCTGATATGTACCAATTTGTACATATTAATACCTTCACCTTTTTCACCCAACTTCCCAATTCCTCTCTCCTCTGGCAACTGTCAGTTTGTTCTCTGTATCTATCAGTCTGTTTCTATTTTGTTTGTTTGTTTATTGTGGTCTTTAGATTCCACATATAAGTGAAATCATATGGTATTTGTCTTGCTCTGACTGGTGTATTTCACTTAGCAAAATACCCTCTAAGTCCATCTGCATTGTTGCAAATGGTAAAGATTTTGTTCTTTTTTTCCAAGTAGTATTCCATTGTATACATGTACCTCCACTTTTTTATCCACTCATCTACTGATGGGCATTTGAAACTGCTTCCATATCTTAGCTGTTATAAATAACTGCAATGAGTATAGAAATGCATACATTCTTTTGAATTAGTGGTTTGGGTTTCTTAGAATATATAACCAGAAGTGGAATTGCTCCTCAACATCACTAATCATCAGAAAAATGCAAATTAAAACCACAATAAAATATCACTTCAGACCTGTCAGAATGGCTATTATCAAATCAAAAACAACAAGTATTGGCAAGGATGTAGAGAAAAGAGAATGCTTGTGCACTGTTGGTGGGAATGCGGATGGGTGCAACCACTATGGAAAACAGTATGGAGTTTCCTAAAAAAATTAAAAATAAAACTGCCATATGAAATCTTCTTAAGTAACCTTGGTTCATTTGGCTGAACGAATATTTAAGAGCATAATACTGACCAAATCATGCTCTTGCTCCTAAATCTTGGCCTGGTCCTCACTGCCTATTGGGTAACATCCAGCATCTCTGGTTTAGTAATTAGGGCACCGGTTTGCCTTAGACTATTTTGCATGTGATTTTTATCTCAATATCTTCCCGTACACCTAATTTTGCAACCAAGATACAGAATCAGCCTATCCTCAAAATGCCTTTATAATATAGATCAAAAAAACCTACCTTGCTGGGAATCTTTTGTTGTTCTTCGCCATTTTTATTGCTAATAGCTCCCCCAACTAAAACTTGATTATTTTATTTTAATCTAATTTAGTACTTTATCCATGAGTATGCTTAATATTTAAGAACTACTTATGAAATTAATGCATTCAAATTTAACCAGAAAGGCATTAATATCAGAGAAATAGCTATTTTCATTTTCTTACGTTAAGAGAACCCAACAGCATGGGTGGACCTGGACACTATTACGCTAAGTGAAATAAGCCTATCTGAGAAAGATAAGTATTAGATGATCTCACTTATTTATGGAATCTAATGAACAAAATGAATTGACCAACAAAATAAGACCCAAAGCATGGAGGCATGGAACTGACATACCTGAATGTAGGGGTGGGGAGTGGGGGGGGGGGCAAGGAGAGATAAACCAAAGAACTTATATACTTATATGCATAGCCCATGGACATGGACAATAGGGTAGTGAAGACCTGGTGGGGTGGGTGGGTAGGGGCTGGGTGGAAAGGAGTAAAGGGGGAGAAAAAGGGAGACATCTGTAATATTGTCAACAATAAATGTATATATTTAAAAAAAGAGAGAGAACCCAACTTAGAGGGTGACCTCATTCCCCCATGAAGTAGGCACGCCATCTAGTGACAGCTCCCCCACACTACAAACCTTGCCTCGCCTGCAAACCCGAAGATCCACCTTTAAATTTTCCTCAAGGAATATATCAAAACGAAACTTTAAAAAAAGATAGAACATAGTGCCTTAAGAAAAAATATTGAATAATATTTTTTCTATGGCATTAAAATTAAACCTGCATACCAATTAATTTAAGGTTGACTATATATAGATAAGTTCAGAGAAACAGAAGGACCTGAAGTTTTTATGTGTTGACATTAATCAGTGATGTATTTGGATCCACTTTGAAAGAAGAAATTTTTTAAAAAATGTCTGTTACCTTGGCTGAATCTCTGATAAAGTGTGAAAAATTTCTTTCCTCCTAAGATGACATATATAACAAACCCTGCAGAGTACTCTGAATAAATATTAGCTGAGGAGCAGCATAATAGTTCAGAGTAGCATAGACTTTGGACCCAGATGGTCTGTTGTGACAACTTTCATGAACTGGAGCACAAAACTCAATTTCTCAGAAGGACCATTTCACATCTTGAAACATGGCAATAACAATATCTTCGTTGTATGAGAAATAACATATGCAACTATTTGGTCTATACCAGGTAATCAATAACAAGTGATCATTTGGTTTTAATGATTATTATCCTTTTACCTTTGATAATGTGTACAGAGACATAAAACTGCTTTTCAAGCTTAAAAACTATTATTCCTAGGTCCCCAATTTCTTTCTTTATCATAGCATTTAGTGCACATGTTGATAGACATCATGACTCCCAATACCTGGTGAGAGATACCATGCTTATTTAGTAAATATCTGACAACAACAATTACAAAATAAATTATCTATAGAATACATTAAAAACCTTTTATATCTACTATATTTCTTAAAGTATTCAGAAAAAGTAAGTTGTTCGTACTTACAACTCTCCAGTTGCATTATGCACGTTTGCACATCCATCGGAAAATTCTTGAGATCCATTGGACAGGAAAGTGTTAATGTCAATCTGAAGAAATTCAAAGCAATTATTCTTTAAAAAAATTATGACATCCTATGAATGTTATATTGTTCGGGGTACAATTGGAAAGCAAAGTTGCTCTTGGTAGTGACTAATGTTTATTCAAATAAAATTTGTTCCAAGTTGGCTGTTGTTTATCCTGAAACAGCTGTACCTTCATATGTAAATCTGATTTGGGGGGAAGGGAGAAGAGCTGTATATTTAAACATCCAATCACGTATATTTATCTATCCTTTTTTTCCCTTTAGAGATGGCTATAGACGTCTAAAAGAAGTCTTTATTTCCAGAAGAGACCTTCAAAAAAGAAATCTGAGTGAGATCGATAAAATGAACACCAAATGCCAAAGAATACACTTCCCCCAAATCACATGGAGCATATTTGAGGAGGCAAGTATATCCTGGGAATTGGAGTTCTAAACATGGTAAGTTGGAGTGCAGAGATGCAATCCTGTGTGACAACTCCCTGTCATCTTTGTAACTGCATGAAAGAAGTTGTCACGAACATCCAGCAGTATTCAGCAGGGGAATAAACTCTGAATCTACTCCCTAGAATTGTCAAGTCCTACCCAGAACTGACAATTCTAGGTGATAGAGTGGGGTTTCCCATTGTGGGACTAGGGCATGTCACCAGGTCTTCTCAGGGTCAAGTAACAGCCCTCTGGGATAGGTGTGACATCTTTCCATGCTCACCAAACAAACTTCTGATTTGGCTTCACGCCAAGTGACTTGGATGGTATACACCAGCACTTTCCCTCTTCCAGAAAGTCTTTGGATGTAGGCATCCCAAACCATGCATCACTCTTGAATTTATTTATTTTTTTATTGGAAAAGTTTATTACCAAGATATCTTCAGGGATTACCAAGACTTTGTAGTTCCTGGATCTGAGAAAAATATGTCCAGATCTAATCAAACCCAAGTTTATTCGAAGCAAGTTTTTTCTGAGATCTCTCTGGCCAGCTCCTGTCATTGCAAGTATTCCCAGTGAAATTTGGTATATTGATGAGCGCCCTAGGCGGAGTTGTTTACTTAAACTTTATGACCATAGTCAGATTACTTCACCCCATATTGGTTCAGTTTTCACCTCTCTAACATGAAGAAATGACAGTATCTGCTCTGGTGAGATGTGATAAATATGTTAGTAATACATGTAAAGAACTTTGATAAGTGCTTACACGCAGCAAACACTCAATAAATATTAGTAATTAAGGGTTACTAGTACATTCTACCACTCTCAGCCTTCCCTATCTCCCCCTCCACCAAATTATACAGGATGGGCACAAAATGACTGGATTAAATCATAAAGCTTATATAAAAATATAAGCTTTTACAAAAGTAATTACCAGCTCTAGTAAATGGAACCACATTCTCCAAAATAGCATTACGATACAGACCATGTATTAAAGTTGTAATGGTGTGTGTTCTACAGTGAAGACTCTCGGTGAGATCCAATGAACATAGTTTGAGAGACATAAATGAACAGACATGTGAAGCTGCTAAATGTTTAAGGTTCCCGGGAGGGTCATTTGACAGTTCACTCCAGTCAGAGTCCATAGCACATGAACATAATTCATAGAGTTCACAATTCAAAAGCAATTTTCTCCTGGCTCAGCTAGGTTGAGTGAGTCTGTAAGCATGATATTTGTAGATTTGCAAAATTCTCCCTTAAAAAGGCAGTTGTAAAATCAGTTGGACATGATGTTCTCTGTCTTGAGAAAGGGTTTATTAGAGGTGTGTGCACAAGTACGTATTGAGTGTATGCACATTAATTTTCCAGACACCCAAGGCCCACTGGCCAGCCAGCTCTAAATTTTGGCTTGCAGAATGAACTCTGTGACCTTTTGTACGGAAGTAAATAGCATTCTGAGAACCTTTTCCAGGCTCTCACCATGCATGTGATGTCAGATTCATATCCTGGCTATTTTTCTGGCATAAAATGGGAGACATTACATAATTCTTTTAAAAAAAAGTGCTTGAGAAGAATTATTTGGGAAAGAAAAACACTAGAACTCGTCATAAATCACATCCTGAGAAACATTTATTTATTGACACTCGTTTTGTTTATGACAGGACACAATTGCTTCTTTAACAGCACATGAATGAAAAAATGTGTGTCAATGTTGTGGGTGTGATATTGAATTTCTTCATCAAAACATTACAAGTAAATTGTGATTTGTCCTGATCACATCAAAAGAAAACGAAATCAAAAGGTAATTAATCACATTCTACTGTTTTGGAAATGAGAATCTTCTTTGTGTTGAGAGAGGACACTGAGTTCTCTTTCTGGGACAAGACACATAAACAGGATATGGCGAAGTCTTGGCTTAGTGAAGAAGTAGAAATGTTAAAAAGGATGATTATAATCTGTGACAATTGACCTCATTAAAATGGACATATTACCCATTTTTTTGAGCAAGCACTGCCCTAGCGTATGCTGTCTATCTCAACCATTAATTGACGTATTAAAAAAATGCTTTGTCACTCCATTTTATGCTCTTTATGAAAATAAGAAGTATTTTTATGAGTTTCTAATATTTCTACATTTAGTGTTATAAGGACAATGGCAAGAGTCCATATAGGGCTAATTTGAGGATTCTGGAAAATATCAGAATTTAAGCCTTTTTTGTAGTTTATTTTTTTTTGTTCAGTTTTGTTTTTTGTTTTCTTTTTAGAAATATAAAATTAACAATGTCTATTATATGCCAGGTAGTATGTTGGGTGCTTTACATATATTATTTCAGGCACACAAACTAATCTATAGTGACAAAAAGCAGATCTGTAGTGGCTCTGAGATGGGGGAGTAGGACAGAGTTTGAAGGGCAAGGATTGTAAGGGTCATGAACTTTTGAGAGTGATACATACCTCCACTATCATGATTGTGCTGATGATTTCATGAAAGTGTAATACACGTGTTGAAACCTATAAAATTGCATACTTAAATATTTGTAGTTTATTACAATTCAATAAAGCTGCTTTTTAAATTAAAAACAAAAATTTATTTTTCTCAAGTAAAGAGACTCGCCCTAAATCACAGCTAGTAAACTGTAGAGGCTTGATCTGGGTTGGAGGACTTCTTGCGAGGTGTACCAAGACCACAAGGCTTTGATTATTCTTTTACCTTTGTCATTTCTTAGGGTTATCAATGCAGCTGCTAATTTTGAGGGATGGGATCATGTTGTTCCCCAGGAAAAAGAGAAGGCTGGCTTGTATTTGGCTATAAAAGCCGTGCATTCCCCAAACTCCGTGTTTCAGAGCTGTGACACAGACCCATGGTGTGTGTTAAATTAATCTGGGCCTGTTGCATGGTTCCAATGAGACTTGAGGACAAGGGACAAGTAAGGCAAATACGGGGATGCTTGTGTTGCTTCCTGGCAGTGAGTAATACATTCCTTTGTCTCCGACCCAGGACTTTCGTGTCCTCAGTCAGCATCCGCTAGTCATATATTGGACTTGAATTGATGTTCTGCTTTTCAAATAATTTCTCTGTTTCCTATTTCTTGGTATCTTGCTTCTACTTCTTGGGAGACTCCTTCACTTCATCATTCCAAGTATTCTACTATCCGCTCTCCCCTCCCCCCACACACACACTCTAGTTTAGTATTCTCTTTTAAAAAATATATTTTATTGATTTTTTACAGAGGGGAAGGGAGAGGGATAGAGAGTTAGAAACATCGATCAGCTGCTTCCTGCACACCTCCCACTGGGGATGTGCCTGCAACCAAGGTACATGGCCTTGACCGGAATTGAACCTGGGACCCTTCAGTCAGCAGGCCGACGCTCTGTCCACTGAGCCAACCAGTTAGGGCTACTATTTGTTCTTATGCTCTGAGTGACTCATTTTCCTTTCCTAGAAGTATCTTATTTCATGTATCTAGTTGTCTCATCTGTCCAGATTTTTTTTTATGGTCTCTTCTGCTCCTTGCACTTCCCCTTAAATCATTCATCTCTTTTTGTTTCTTTAATTTTCCTCTTTTATCTTTATTTTCTTTGCATGTTTCTTCTGACATCTGCTTCTTTTTTATTCTTGTTAATATTATAAGATGTCCTCAAATGTCTGTTTAGATATAAGAACAAAGCAGTAAAAACTATTTGGAGCTCAATTACTAGTGGATGGTTCATTGAGTAATAAATAGTCTTATCTGTAAAATGATTATATGACCACCCAGATTTTGTATTGGAGGTTCCCTCAATGTCAATATCTCTATTTTTTTTCTGTTGGGCAAGTTAATTTCTCCAGAGGCATATTCTTCTGACTACTGCTCAGTAAAAGCCTCGGTCTGGTTTTCAGCATTTTAAGGGAGAACAGGGGTATCACCGTTTAGTGTATCCCTTGTAATCCTTATTTTAATGGTAAGATGCTTATGACAGACCCAGCTGTGCCTGTAGTCCCTAATTGTGAGGTTCTTGGCACAGGCTCTCTGAGGTTTTCTGTCTTGCTTTCTGCTCAGGTCAGACGGCAAAAAGGCAGCCCCTCATCTAAAGGATATAGATGAGGAAGATTAGGAATAGAAAGCTCGCTGATGTTCCCACAAAGTTTAAGTTGATTCTTTTCATTTGATCTCTTGTCTAGTCCCTACTTTCTGAAGTCCTCGCTGCCACAAATTTCTAAAAGTTTGAGGGTAATATGTCTTCCTTTTGAGTTCTCTCACTTTGGCGTACATTTCAGCTATCTCTGCCTGTTAAGTCAGTTTTCCCGAGTGCATTCACTTTCAAGCTTCCTAAAGTATGTTGTCATCATTCATCTGTCACAGTCTTCTTTTCCATTCCTTTCACCCTCCTGTGTGTCAGGGCCATTTTATTCCTTATTTAGTTTACTTCTTTATTTTAGTGGGTTGAAGGAGAAAGTACAGATAAATGGATAAGTTAAATAGGTCAGGTTTGCCAGAACATTCTGCTTCTTTCTTAAAACAACTAGGAAAGCCGGATCTCTCGTGAAACATCACAGATGCTCCATTTGTAAATTGAATGAGACTTTTTTTCCTAGCACAACTTTTGTTAACAAAGAAACTGTTTGCCAATTGAAGATTTCAAAGTACTGTGAGATTTCCAAAAACAACTCATAGAAAAACAAATTTAGTCTTTGATCATGTGAGCCAGGATATAGCAAACAAAAACTGGGAGCTGAGAGACATCATCCTGTTTCATCTGAATTCATACCGAAAAGACAAAAATGCAATTCTGAATTATTCCATAATTTTCCTCAAAATATTAAAAGAAATGTGAGCAATTCATAATGGATAGCATTGTTTTCCAATTCCAATAAGATGATAAAAAAGTAAATATCCATAATCATATAGCACACACACACGCACACACATTATATTTCAATTCTATCGATGAAAATATTCTAGACGTTATAACTTTTTAGATTTCCTGACATAATTTTTTAGATTCCCTGAGCTGCTCTGACTATTATTATTCCATGCTATCTGGTGATATATTCTTGCAGCCAAAATCTGTCTGCAATGAAACAGTACCTTATAATTAATAATAAATCATACCTTTCGCAAATTTTCAAGTTAACAGGAAAAATTTAACTTGCTTATTCGCAGCCTGTCATGGATTCCCTGATATCCATCATGAATCCAAAACAAAGAGGAATCAAGGATTATGACCTGGAGTTTCAATCTTTCATCAAAAAATATGTATATCTAACTCATAAGTAATACATAACCCTTTCTGAAGAATTCAAATAATATAAACTCACATATAATAAAAATTAATTATTCATAATCATATAGGACACACACACTGTATTTCAATTCTATCAATGGAAATATTCTAGACATCATAATTGCAAAATGATTATTCCATTTCATCTGGTGATATATTCTTGCAGCCACCTTTATTCCTACCCAAATTCAATCACTTATTTCCATAGTTGGTTATTTTCTACCAGTTGTTGGGCATCCTTCTGAAGTCTTGCATGGATTTACATAGATGTGTAAGTTATGCTTACACTAGAGGCCCGGTGCACAAAAATTTGTGCACTCGGAGGGTCCCTCAGCCCGGCCTATGCCCTTTCGCAGTCTGGGACCCCTCAGGGGATGACTACCTGCTGTCTTAGGCCCACTCTCTGGGGGATTGGGCCTAAGCTTGCAGTCAGACATCCCTCTGGCAGCCCAGGAGCCCTCGGGGGATATCCACTTGCCAGCGGGGAGCAGGCCTAAGCTGCAGTCAGACATCCTTAGTGCTGCTGAGGAGGCGGGAGAGGCTCCCACCACCACCGCTGTACTGGCGGCCGTCAGCCTGGCTTGTGGCTGAGCAGAGCTCCCCCTGTGGGAACGCACTCACTACCAGGGGGCAGCTCCTGCATTGAGCATCTGGTGGTCAGTGTGTGTCCTAGTGACCAGTCATTTCCAGTCGTTCTGCTGTTAGGGTCAATTTGCATATTACCCTTTTATTATATACGAGTGCCTGGCCAGTCTGGGTGAGGGGCTGATGGCTGTTTGCAGGCTGGCCAAGCCCCTTCAGGGTGGGGGTCCCCACTGGGGTGCCTGGCCAGTCTGGGTGAGGGGCTGAGGGCCGTTTTCAGGCTGGCCACACCCCCTTCAGGGTAGGGGAGTCCTGCTGGGGTGCCTGGCCAGCCTGGGTGAGTGGCTGATGGCTATTTGCAGGCTGGCCAAGCCCCCCAGCAGGGACCCTCACCCCCTGAGGGTGTGGCCAGCCTGGGTGAGGGGCTGATGGCTGTTTGCAGGCTGGCCACAGCCCTCAGCCACCCAAGCTCCCAGTGGAGGCTGGCTGGAAGCAGGTATCTGGGATTTATTTATCTTCTATAATTGAAACTTTGTTGCCATAAGCGGAGGCCACAGCCGGCTCAGAGCAGGCAGGAAGCTTGGCTTCCTCCATCGCCTGGGCAACCAAGCCTCCTGCTTGCTCCAGCTCCGTGGCTGCTGGCTGCCATCTTGGTTGGGTTAATTTGCATATAGTTGCTCTGATTGACTGGTGGGCATGGCTTAGGGCATAGCAAAGTTACAGTCAATTAGCATCTTTGTCTTTTATTAGTGTAGATATGTAGAGTGTTTTAAGTACAAATAAAAATAAAACATTTCTCTTGAATTTAAATATATTTTGGAGACCTTCTCTTATGAATAACTTTAGATCTATCTCATGCAGAATATTTCATCATATGGGACTCTCATTGTGTTCTACTTTGTTCTTATTAATGAATATTTAGGGGACATTTTTGCTGTTGCCATTTCTGTGGTGAAGAAGGCATCTTTGTAAATGTATCTTATATATACATAAACACATAAGTAATGTAAATTCCTAGAAGTAAAATTGCTGAGTTGAAGAGTAAATGAATTTTATGTTTTTATATATCATAAAAAACATCTTTCCAAAGAGTTAATGTCAAGTAATATGCCCACAAAAAAGGTATTAGACAACCTAAATATTACCTGTCTTGTTAATGTCTGCCCATACATTTTATTTTTTAAGTTTTCTTGTCTTTTGCTATTTACTTCCCCCCTACATCAATGTTATAATTCTTGCTTCAGCTGTCAAATATGAAGAAAACTCAAGATGAGAGGAAATGTCTATCATTGTATTTACTTATATTTTTGCTTACTGTTTCCTTTTTCTACCTTCTATGTTCCAATTTCCTTCCTTTCTTTTCTTTTTCTTTTTTTCCCCATTGCCATTTACCCCCCCATACCATCTCCCCAATGTTCCTTCTTTTATTGTTTCCTTTCTATTTAGAAAACTTTTGTAGCTACAATTTTAAGATAGGTTTACATGTGACAAATTCTCTTAGTATTCTTTTATTTAACAATATAATTTCCCCTTCATTCCTGACAGATATTTTCAGTGGGTACAGGATTCTAGGATGACAGTTCTTTTCTTTCAGCACTTAAAAAAAAAGTGTCAATTCTTCTGGCCTCCATGATTTCTGATGAAAAAGTCTCATAGTTTTTCCCCCATAGGTAAAGTGTTGTTATTCTCCAAATGCTTTCAAAATTTTTATTTAGTTTTCAAAAGTTTGCCTATAATGTGACTTGGTATAAATATCTTTGGGAGTCTTTCAATATCTAGGATCTGGAGGTTTAAGCCTTTTATAGAATTTACAAATATTTCAGCCTTTAATTCCTCTATTATTTTTTTAGCTTTATACCCTATTCTTCTTTTCCATCTGAGACTCTGATGACATGAATGTTGGGATTTTTATTATACTCCATGGATTATAATAATGTTGTTTCCTCAGGTTCCAGGTTTTTACTTTTCTTATGGCTACCATTGGGAGTCTCCTTAAGTTCGTTATATATATATTGTGTGTAGGGTTTTTAGTTATATTTAACAGAAGGAATAGAGGCCATACGTCTGTTCCATCTTCCCACTATCTTTTGATTCTTAAACTTTTTATAGTAATTTTCCAAAAAGGTTTAAAATTCTCTTGCTTTTACCTGGGATTCACCATTAAGTCATTTATTCATTTGGGAGCATAGGGATAAATTACTGATGAGGCCTGAAATCTTCCTTTATATCTTATGTAGCAATGAATTATTCAGGATTGTATTAACACATATTAGTCAGTTTTCAGCAATGTGACAAGTGTCAGTTAAGAGTAGAGTGATGTCGCCTTTTCACCCTTAGAAAGTAATGTATGTATTGAAAGGAAATGTATTCGCATGAAATAGGAAAATATGAAAAACATAATACATTAGCATGATGTTTGTGCTTTGGTATTAATTATTGTTATATTTTGGTATTAGTTGTAAAAGGCTACACGATCTTCTAAGAATTAACTTCTAAATAACTAAAATGTAAATAAAATCTTTTCTAAAGGATAGTCAGAGAAGCTCAGGAAATCTTAAAAAATACATATCGTTGAAAAATAATTTATGGAAAATGGATCTCAGAGAAACAAATCTCTATATTTCTTCACCTGTAAATATTACAAGAGTATGATACATAAAAAACATACTAGTAATCACAATGTATGATTTGGCTACCATTTCATTTGCCCTTAAATCACTCACCCACCTGGCTGATTAATTACCTGGGCTATTTGTTAAAAAAGCGGATTTCCAAGAATTATTCACACAGTTTCTGGATCTAAAACTTGGGTCTGCTATTGTTGATTAGACATATTTGGAAATAGTACATTAAAGTAATTTAGGTGGAACAATGAAAGCAGTTAACCAAAAATTTCAAAACACTCACTAAAAGCAAATAAAGAAAACCCAACACGTTTCCAACAAAATCAGGAATTTAAGTCTGTAACTCACCTTATTGAATAAAGAACATTTCCATTCTTGAAAATTCTTAACAGTTTGTTGTCTGTAGTAACTTCGTGAAAGTTGGCACCCTTTTCATTGGCAAAGAACAGGTCAGGTTTCCAAATGGAGTCCAACATGGAAGGATCTAGGTCTAAAGAGTCATCAGGATATTCACTATATGCAAGGCGAGGATCGTTCCATTTCTGACGAAGAAAGATATTCACTCTGTAATCCTGCAATGAAAGAAGGAAAGTGGGGGTGGGGGGGGAGGACTTCTGCTTTAAAGAGTTTAGAATCTTATGTGCTATTTTGGGGGCTTCTCTGAATTATAACAAAAGCCACTGACATCCTTGTGAGCCTTCCATCCCACACGATCATCACTCATTACTACTGACAAGAGTCATTTTATTTCTGAGGCTTTCCCTGAGTTTTCAGTGATCTATACGCCTCCAAAGAAATGGCCACACAATTTTATCATACATATGTCTTGTGGTTCTATTCAAAATTCACTCTCCTGGTCTGTCAGAATAAAATACTGGGCTGCTTGCTACCTGACACCTGGAGTAAAATATTTTCAGCTTTGCATTTATTTTCTAGAACCATTTATTTTAGTGGGTGTCTAAGAGCATCTGAAATGCCTCTAGTGAAATTTTCTTGAAAGCTCTCTGTATTATAAAAATGACCATATATACTTTTTGATAATGAAGACACATATTCTCATGTTTAATATAGTATGCAAATTCTATAAAATAGGTGACTTGGGAAAAATAACAGGGGACTTTAGAGGAATAAAAGAATAATAAAGGCACATTATTGCCAGCAATTCTTTAAGAAGATTTAACTCATGAGATATCCAAATTAGACCTTTCATAGTTACATTTAAAAGGGAAAGAGTCACTGATTTCAGCCAAATTCTTGCTCACAAATTCTGGACTAATGTATAAAATGACAGGACTGATAGCTGGGTGTCATAGGTAATGCTTATATCCACTTACTATGTACACATTACAAATATAACTTTTGCCTTAGATTTTTGAAATGAGCAAATAAACATGTAAATTTGATTACAAGCATGAGTAATGTGAACATTTTTAGAAAGCTTCATTTGCATGAAAAAAATAGGCTGAAGATATTCAGAGAAACTGAACACTATTTTTTATCTATTTTTTTATTCCTTGAATCCCAAATTATTATTTGTCAGAATATAGTAGCTAAGCAATCACAAAGGATGCTTCCATAATATTAGACCCGGTAGATGGCTTACCTTGCAGGTAGATCTAATTTAGAGTGTGTAGTGAATGTAACAAATCTCTATGTTCCCTTAGTCATTTTTTGTGCACCGAGTCCTCTATCTTCTGACTATAGCTGATGGTACACACCAAATAATATATTTTCTGCCTGCTAGGTGCCCCATGGATCTTCAAAAGTACCAACGGAGCAGCGTTCACATCAGCTTCTTTACCATAAAGCTTACGATAGTGTGGAAATCTTATCAACCGTAAGGGTGTGTAGAAGCTGTAAATGGGAATATATGAGCGAGCTCCTACCAGACAAAGACAGGTCATCCTCTCCTGGCCTAGAGTTCAGAGTACCATGAAGCACACCTCCATGGTGGCCAATTCTTGGGTCCCTCACCATTCTGCTGTCTGTGCCTCAGCCCTAACCACCACCAACAGAGTTGGTCATTAGACTAAAGTCAGTTTCTCTCTGCCTTACCTATAGAAGAAGGCTAAAGCAAGACAAGTGATACCTGCCAGGGAAAAAATAACTGACTAGTAAAGAATTTTCTTTTGGACTGGACCCGGTAGATGGCTTACCTTGAAGTACTTTTATGCTGTAACTAATTTATTAACTGAGAACACTCTGTAGTCATTCAGACTGTGAGGCTAAAATAAAACGAATTTTAAGCTCAGCATGTGTAATAAAATTTGGCTCAATCTCTTTATCCCTGTGTTATTGATTTAGTGATAAACTTTATAAACCAAATTTCGGATCTTCCAGGAACACTCTTTGCTCTAAGAGTGAGCTAAAAAAGCCACCGAGTTTCCTTCAAGAACAAAATCAACTGTCAGCTGTAACCAAAGCCAAGTGTTCACCTGCATCCACTGTGCTCTTTCTTTCAATAGCCAGAAATATCTTTGTTTCTGAACACATTTAAGTATTTGATTTAGGGGCAGCGACCAAAGCAAAACTCAAAAATAACCATCTCCTGAAAAACTAGAAACTTACGTTTTAACACTCCTCATAGTTGGGTTTTGCCCTGCTTGCAAATGAACATTATGCTGAGAAACTTCTCTCTTACACAACCAAATTCAGCATTTCAAAAAATAATTTTTAAGGCTGATTCTTTATAGCCAACATATCCTATTAATACCCAGCAACCAATTATAGTAATTGCTTTTGAATCCTGATTGTGAAAATGTGCAAAGGGTACATACAATGACATAGTAAAATAATACCACCTTAAAAGAAGTCCTTGCAATGCAATTTGAAATAACTTGCATATAACAGAAGACCATGGACTGTAGAAGGAAACAGCTTTGCAAAGTAGAAACTAATGGATGTGTGTGCAGCATATGCAAAAACATCTTAAATGGACTTATGTAGAACAGTTACATGTGAGTAAAAAAAAGCAGTAATAAATATGAGATAATACATATTGAGAGTGAAATCAATATTTATAGTTCTCATTTCTAAAATCTACACATATTTTGAATTCATAATTCATGACACTTATATGGAATCATAATATTTTAGGACAGAGATATTAATGGCCTTCAGAATCATGAGATATACATTTGTGTTGTTTTAAGCCACTGAATTTGAATCTGTGGCAATTTGCTAGGGCAGCAATAGCAAACTGATGCATTTATATTTTTGAATGGATTTTAATACATGCGCATTCTCATTTTTTAATGAAATCCATAGAATAATACATTCTTTTTGTCAGTTAGTCTAGAGCAGCGGTTCTCAACCTGTGGGTCGCCAACCTGTGGGTCATGACCCCTTTGGAGGTTGAACTACCCTCCAAAGGGTCGCCTAAACCATCGGAAAACACATATATAATTACATATTGTTTTGTGATTAATCACTATGCTTTAATTATGTTCAATTTGTAACAATGAAAATATACCCTGCATATCAGATATTTACATTATGATTCATAACAGTAGCAAAATTACAGTTATGAAAATAATTTTATGGTTGGGGGTCACCATAACATGAGGAACTGTATTAAAGGGTCGTGGCATTAGGAAGGTTGAGAACCACTGGTCTAGAGGGTAGAATATTTAAGGCAACATCCCTGGATTCCTAGCCAAATGGAAAAATTAACTCAAAATTCTTCCTGTTTTTAGGAGTCCTAATCAGAGATACTGGCTAATTTCAAAATGATCAGAAAAATAGCTTTCTTTTCTCATAGAAATAAGGACAAAGGGCAAACTCCCTGACAATTACTTTGTCGGTTTACTTTTGTAAGATTTTCTAATTCTGAAGTACTACACAACATAGGCTTACCATGCATCACAAAGTGCAGAATACTAACCCTCAGCAGTGGAGTAATTGCTCCTGATGTCATCTCCATAATATGCCATCTGCTCTATGATCCCCACCACAGGCAGGGTGGTCGGCTGGGGCCACTGACTGAAATAATGGCCCATTGGGAAAGTGCCTTTCAGTTCTCAGTTACTAAACCAACAGGGGGAAAAGCCATCTTGTAAGAACTATTTAGAAGCTCAGAAAGGTTATTTCAAATCTCTCCTTGACTGCTTCATTATCCATATGTTTATATATTCTCTAGAAAAGGGCAGCACCGTTTTAAAATTATGAAGATTTTTTTAAAGGAAACCTAGTTATGTACCAATTATGGGAATACAAAGTTAAGAATTCACAAAAAGTAAAGTAGACTCGCAAAAAAAAAATTATAGCATATTAAATATAAACAAAATGCATCCTTGTTTTTTAGAACTTGGGAGTGTTTTTATAATAATAGTTTTTAAAGGAGATAATCATTATTAAAATTCATCTAATTTATTAGGATTGGTCAGAACAAACGTGTGTTGAATCAGTGAAATTACATTCTATATGTCTCATCCGGTAAACTCTGTTTAAATATAAGATTGATTCTAGTCCTTTCAGGCTGCTATAACAAAATACCATAGACCAGGTGCCTTATAAACAATCAACATTTATTACTCGCTGTTCTGGAGGCTGGAAGTCTGAGATTAGGGTGCCAATAAGTATGCGAGGGTCCTCCTCTGGGTTGCAGACTTCTAATTGTATTGTCCCCTGGCTTTGGTGATAGGCGCTCTATGGGGTCTCTTTATGAGAGCTCTAATCCCATTCATGAGTGCTCCAATCCTGAAGACTCAAGCACCTCCCAAAAGTCCCACCTACTAATACCATATCTTTTGGGGGGGCTAGGATTTTAACATATGAATTGAGGGGGATGACAAACAAGCAATAGCAAGATTGAAAATTAAACCACTGGCAAAACAATAAAAAGATAGACAGTCGACTCTTGGACAATACAAGGTGGTGGAGTGCCAACCCTGGTGGTTAAAAATCCGGGTATAACTTTTTACTCCCCCCAAACTGAACTAGAGACAGCCCTTTGCATCAGCAGGTTTTGCATCCACAGGTTTTGCATCTTCAGATTCAACCAACCGAAGATCAAAAACAGTATTTTCCATCTGTGGTTGGGAATCCACGATCGGAAACAGTAGTTGGGAATGTGTAAATACTGGTCTTGATCCTGAGTTGGTTGAATCCACTATATGAAGGGCCAACTCTATTGAAAAAACCTGTGTGTAAGTGCACCCACTCAGTTCAAGACCATGTTCTTGAAGGATCAGCTCTATTCCATTCAGAACACTGTGCAGTGCCTAATTTCTAGAGAGGTAAACTTGTTCATTGGATTATTATTCCATAAATCAGTAGAGATTTATTCCAACTAATATCATTTATTCAGTTTGGGCATGCCTGGATTTAGAGCTAAAGACCTACACAGAGCCAGTGTAACTGTTTCCTTTTATTGAAAAAAATAGTAATTTATGCAGCTCTATGAGTGTAAGGTAACAAGTTATTCTCAGCCTTAATGTGCTCATGGCAGTGCTCCCCTAGACCCCACTTATCTAGAGGTACCCTTCTGCCTCCCAGTGCTCACTTCGTGCATTCATACTCAATTCCTCTTGGCAAATTCCATGCCCAGTTCTCAGCCTTCTCACAAACAGGG